CACCATTAGCCCATTAATGCACTCCTTGATGTGTTTTATTGCCTTAACAATGTTCAGAGGCTTAGCTAATTCAGATACTGCTAATAAAAATATCCTAGCCTTATGCAAGAGCCATCTTATTCCCCAGACTCAGATATTGTATATACCCAGATAGTGTTGACAAACCAAAAAGGCTGCACCTCTTTGCTCCTTCTGAGAAAACTTGCTAGTTAACATTCTCCAAAGTCCATCAGTTGCCACAATTATTGTCCTTATTTACAGATGGAAAAGGGAGATCGCTTTATCTAGAATATATCAGTAGGCAGGGCCGGTGCAAGGAAGTTTCGTGCCCTAGGCAAAACTTCCACCTTGCGCCCCCCCCTTCCGCCCTGAGGTGCCTCCCCACCCCCCGTGGCAGCTCCCCCCTCCGCCCTGAGGCGCCCCCCACCCACCCACCACTACGGCAGCTCCCGCCCCCCGGGGAGCCGTGCAGCAGCTCCCCACCCCAGCTCACCTCTGCTCCGCCTCCTCCCCGAGCACGCCGCTCCCACTCTAATTCTCCTCCCCTCCCAGGCTTGCAGCGCCAAACAGCTGATTGGCACTGCAAGCCTGGGAGGCGAGAGAAGTGGAGCGGCGACCGCGCTCTCGTAGGAACGCTGTAAAAAAAAAAATTGGGGGCACTGCTTTTTGGCGCCCCCAAATCTTGGTGCCCTAGGCAACCGCCTAGTTTGCCTTAATGGTAGCACCCGTCCTGTCAGTAGGTCTTTGTGATCTTCAGTCAATCCATAACTTGAGTAGAGCTAAATTTTAAATTCACCAGTCATAGATAGACAAGAGGCACTTAATGAAACCTATACTTATTATCTAGTCATAATTCCAGACATTTATTAATTGTGGAAGGTTTTTGTCTTTTGAAGAACTTGGAACTAAAGTATGAATTCTACGCTAATGTTTTTCCATTTTTCAACTACTGAAGTGTATCTATATCTCTTATATTAATGAAAGAAATCTATAGTTATACAGACTAATGCTGTAACGTGTTTGTTATTGTTTAATACCTTTAACTTCATTAAAGGTAGCATCCACTACTTGGAATGCAGTATATTATAATAAATGGTAGGATATGTGGCTTTGTTAGAAAGAACAAACCCAAGAAATTGTGAAATCTCTGCTATTTTCAGTTCTGTATATAATTAAATTTGAAGTTGTGAGCATGAGGGTACACTTAGCTCTGATCTTAGCATTCCATGTCCACTAAGGCAGAGATTTTTTGTTAGTGCTTTTTAAACAAAAATATCTTAGAAGCTAATCACAGCCCTGAAAGGATTACTCAGTTTGGCCCTTTTTAAAACATTAGAACTCAGAAACTTGTATCAGAATGTCTTTCCTTACCTTTACTACTGCTAGAAAAGGGAGATAATATGGACTCACACTGAAGATTTCAAAAGTGCCTATTTTTATCAGACTCAATGTTTTATGTTTCAAAACCATTCTTGAAACTATCTAAAACTACAGAACTGTGAAGAATGGGTTTCACTAACTTAAACTTAAGCACCAAGTATTCAGTGGGTCTGTGAATGCAGAATCTATTCCCCCTGCTCCTTGTCACAGAATTGTACTCCCGAATGTAAACTTTATTTTTTTTAAAAATTGCTTCCGACCCTCATGGCTCTGAAGATTAAGCTTGAAATTGTGAGCTAGGCGTCAACTAGAATACTCTGTGATGTTGTCTTGAGTGAACAGCATGGAACAATAGTTCTGAGAGGTGTGAACTATTCTATTCATTTCAATATCTTTCAGCTCTCAAGATAAAAATGTTGGGTGTTTTATAGTGTCTGCTACTTGACTGCTGATCACTCTTGTAGAAATGTGCAGCTAATGTGTTTATCCCACAATTTCAGTTTGATTTTCACACCTCCTAAAATGTCCAAAGATCTAACAGTTCCAGCATATCTTTTTCCCTTGCTAACTTCTGCAGTGTTATCATATTGTTAATACAGAAATCTAAGACACACTGGAAATAGATAATACAGAAACAACACGCAATTACTATATGTGCTCCAGTATTTATTTTTATATTATTCATATTCTTATTTTTTAAAATATATTTTTAAATTTAAATGACACTGTTACAGAAATCCCAGTCTGTCAGTATAAGAGAATCCACAGACCTTGTTGCAGCAGACCCTGTTCAGTTGCCATTTGCTTCAGAGAATATGAAGCTTTGCATATAGAGCCTTTAGAAAAGTCCATTCCAAATTCAAAATTTTTGATAGGTGTGTGTGTGTGTGTGTATCTATATGCTTGTTATCAAGGTGAATATAACATAAGAACATCCATACTGGGTAAGACCAATAGTTCATGGGGGGAGGGATAGCTCAGTGGTTTAAGCATTGGCCTGCTAAACCCAGGGTTGTGAGTTCAATCCTTGAGGGGGCCATTTAGGGAACTGGGGTAAAAATCTGTCTGGGGATTGGTCCTGCTTTGAGCAGGGGGTTAGACTAGACGACCTCCTGAGGTCCCTTCCAACCCTGATATTCTATGATTCATCTAGCCCAGTATCTGTCTCCTGAAAGGTAGATGTTGAATTAGAAGAATCCCATCAAAGCCTGAATTGATTGTTTCCCTTTCTGTTTAAAGTATACTCAGCTAATGCAGTAGCAACTTTTTGAGGTAGAAGTTTCCACCCAAGGCCTCTCTGTGTTTCGTATTTGGGCTTCACTTGCCAGCTTTCAGAGTTTCTATGAAAAATCTTTTATAGAACCATTCTTTAGTAAGACTGCTCGATTCTTCATTTTTTTGTCATCTCAAGGTGGTGGTTGTTGTTAAAACTTAGCCAGCTGCAGGCACATCTGTATAAAAATGGAAATAGGATTACATGTAATTCTTTGTTTCCTTTACTGAGCATAACATCCTCAAACCATAGCTTATTCCTTTTCCCTCTACCAGGATCTTTACCTTTATTCATCTCTAGCTCTCTTGCCTTTTGCATGAAGTGAGGCCCCATGGCCTCACTTTCAAGATCCATTTCAGCTGTCGTGCTCCTTTATATGTGCTCTTTTTCTCCTCCTTTATCCTTCCATGTTAAGCCTTTCTGAAGCTACCCTTGCACTATTATCCCATTCTTAGATTTTCACTTTCTTCCATGGCACCTCTTGTGCTTTGAAATTCCCTCATCTCAGACACCAAGCAACTTTCCTTTCATCTTTCAAGAACATCTTCCTCCTGAAAACACACCTCTTTTATGGAGCCTTTTTGCACTGATCTCTTCAGACATCTTCACCACTTCATGATAAACTGTCTTATCTGCCTGAACTAATTAAGGTCCTCCAGGCAAGAGCATCTCTCTTTGTTATATAAAACACTGATCACATGAATCATAATTTATAGATGCTAATCTGACTGAAACAGTAAGCATTTCTGCCTGTGTATGTGGGGGAATAATAGGCCGTTAGTACAGATTGGGACAGTCTTAAACAATTTCTCATTAGAGAATGCTAATTCAAAAGGATTTACATTTAAGAAAGGGATTTGTAGAATTTTAAGAGAGCTTTATAGTTTAAAAAGTGAGCAAAAACTGCAAATATGCAGAGCTATAATTATGTTTTTATATCATGCTTTATGTAGATCAGGCTGCAATACCTGTACAATCTGTTCCTGAAGCTAAAATATCTAGCTCCAGAGGGATCTGTTGGTGGCAGTTATGGGCTACAGAGATTCTAACACTGCTCTCGTTCTGTGCTGTTCATGTATCAGGGAAAGGGGGTTTGGACAGGACACTCTGATACTGATCCTTAGCTGTGGTTTTGGCTGCTTAGGGTTGTTAGCAGTGTGACGGTGTCCCCGAGGTGCAACCTGGACTGTGGGACTGCTGAGCCCTTTGTTCCAGCAACCTGGGCTCCCTCTCACTCCATGATGCTGTCAAGCCACAAACCTCTGGCAAGTACTGCATTTACACAGACATCCACAGGCAGGGACACACCCAGCTGAGTTACATGAATATTTTCCCAGCCACTCATGAACCAACAATAGAGAGGCTTCAGCCAATTCCCCCCAGCTCCCCTGTTTTGCACCCCAGAACTGCATGTCTTGCACTGGTCAGAAGCCTGAACAGTGCAAGTTTATTATCCGGTTCGCCTCTTCTGCAAGGGAAAATGGATGTGCACCAACCTTTGTAACCTCAGCAGATTTCCCAAGCAGTTAAACTGAAACACACTGTTTTAGGTAAAATATAAAACAGGTTTATTAACTACAGAAAGAAAGATTTTTTTTTTAAGTGATTATAAGTAGCAGGCATATAGATCAGAGTGGGTTAAAATCGCAGTCTAAGCTCTACAAACTAAACAGGATTTGAATCAAGCAGTGTCTCATCCTGACAGATGGTACAAGCAGGTTATAGATCCTCAATACACGGGCTGGGACCACCCTCCCCGAGTTCAAAGTCTTTGTCCTCCAGATGTGTTTCCAGGTGTTGAGTTGTGGAGGGAGTTGAGGCCAAGTTATGATGTCACTTCCCTTCTTCTATAGTTTCTTCCAGCTTGCTGGAAAGATCTTTTGCTATGACGTGTGGGTAACAGGCAATTCCCACTGGTCAAGCAGTCTCTGTTGTATACATGCTCCCTCTGAGATGTCTACATATGTGTATAGTTTCTGGGATCCTTTCCTTCATAGATGTTGATGAGCCATTAACGGCTGTCCGGCTACTGCATTGTTGTATCTGAAAGATTGGTTGTGGGTGTTCCTAACCTCACAACATATTTCAGTAACACACACATAGCAAAACTTCATAACTTCACATACAATGATAGCACATACAATCCAACAGGATATTAATGTTCAGCAGATCAAGACTTTTAAAATGATACCTCACAAGGCATGCTTTTTACAAAACATATCATAATTATATGGCAGTGGTGAATATGGGGATTCCAGGATGTTGCTTTGAGGTACAGAGTATTACAAGCAGTCATTAGCAACAGAGAGTCCTGTGGCACCTTTAAGACTAAGTGAATACCCACTTCGTCAGACGCATGGGTCATGGTAAATTACAGCAATCTTGAGGCTGCCCTAACTGCACAGAGAGACTGGTGTTGCACATTAACTTCACTGGGATCAAGCCAATGCAAAAAGTAAGCTTTATGCTACTTTAGAACTCACCACTTCCCCCCCCATTCCTACCCCAACTTGCATTTTGTGTGCTGTACTCATAGACAAGAATCCTGCCCAGAAGCTCTAAAATTGAGATTTAACTAGCTTTCATTGTTAAAATTTGACTTTTTTTTTTCCTTTAACAAAGTCAGAAGCATTGTAGATGTTTTCTGAATGTTTATTGATCCTAGTGTGTTTGCAGCATCACCATTTTCCCCATATTTCAGGAGATGGAGCAGACCAGAAGTGCTGTAGATGAAGACAGGAAAATGTACCTTCAAGCTGCTATAGTCCGTATCATGAAAGCACGTAAAGTGCTGCGACATAATGCTCTTATTCAGGAGGTAAGAGGAAATGCTGTCCATTATCATGATCTAAATGAAAAGCTGTATGATGACTGATGGCTGTGTTTAATCACAAAACTGATGCAGTGTATACTTCAGAACTAATATTTTAATGACTGGCAAGAATTTTTCTAAATTGCTTTAGTTCAGAATGTAGGAGTTTTACTTAAGTGGGAATGTTTAGTTGTGTTCATCTGGTCCTGCAGTTATCCCTGTCACAGGCATTAATAAATGTATAATTTTCACAGTGATACCCAACAAGCCCAGAACTCTTATGATAAGGCTGGATTTCATTTTGCTTTATAGCTCAGATTTTAAAAGTATGTTGAAATTTTAGACTACATCTCAATTTTAAGGGAAGACAGAGTATCTAAATTCTCTAGACTGCATTGATTCTCCCCCTTTTTCTTCATCCCCACCCCCAAGACCACCCCAGAATGGACATCTATCCAAAGCTGTATGGCCAGAATTTTCAAAAGTCACTAGTGATCTGGTATATTCAGCTTGAGATCTGAACACCCACCTTCTGAAAATCAGTTCCCTAATGTATCTTAGTTTGAACTCTTCAAAATTGAGAAACCCTCAGTCTTAGACACTCTTAAAAACCCTGGCCTAGGTGATCTTCCATCACTTAAAGTCACATAATTATACTATATGATAAGCTACCTACATCCTATAACAAAATCAAATCATAACCAAATAATATAGTAAGTAAATCAATAACCCATTCCATCTCGGTATCTACCTTATTCCCTCTGCACTCCTACCGTGCCTAAAAGACAGGTGAGTCTTGCAGCATGCCTAGATGGTGGTAGATTTAGGCTATTTTGCGTCAAGAGAAGGAATGAATTACCAAGTCAAGGAGGTTTTACAGGAAAAAAACTAGTTGGCAGCTCCTTCCCATACATAACTGAAGAGCGCTCCTGCTCAGATGCCTCTGCAGATCTCCACTCTGGCAGTACAGAACAAGGAAGGAAGCAGTCTATCAAGACCAGTCCTGGAACATTTAGAGCTTTATAGGCAAAATCAACACTTCAGTTTCCACCCAGAAATTGAATGGCAACCAGTGAAAATCACACAGCAGTGTTGTCACTTATCTTGTTGACACTCCACTCATCAAGTAGTCAGCCATAGCTTCCAAATAAACTTAGAGTAAACTTTTCAAAAATGCCTTACTGACTTAGGACCATAAGCCCCAATTTCTAAAGGGATTTAGGCACTTAGGAGCTAAAGTCACTTTTGAAACTGGGCCTTAGGATACGAAGTCACTTGGGTGCTTCTGAAACTTTTTTCCAAGATGCAGAGCAAATTATGCATAGTGTTATAGAAGTCTAAAAATTAACACTAAGTTGGTACAGCCTTCTCTCTAGACTAATTTGTTTAGGCAAAGAACAAGTCACACCCATATGATACATATTCTAAAACTTTAGCTTCTTAACTGTCCAAGCTGAAATGCTTCTTTCCCAGTTCTTGCAACGTTTTTATTTCATGTCAATGTCAGTACATTCAGATTTCTTAATATTACCTTCAGTCCCTTTAAATTTTTCTAGTAAAAAATGTCACTTCTTTGTCTGAGACACTTGTACCTCTTCCTGTAGGTACTAATGGCAGTTCATATGTGGCCACACACCTTCCACCAGGCACCAGATTTTCTGGCTGGCAGCTCAAACAGAACAGTGGCTCAGTACTCCCACTTTAGCTATCCCAGTGCTTTTAAAGCTTTTTTCCAGTAGAAGCAAGCACAGACTTCCCCAACATTCCCACCCCCCATTAGGGAATCAAAATTTCTAGAGCTCTGAGCCCTGAATGTGATCACCCATTAAGCTCCTTCCTGTTTCTCCCGACTTTCCCGCCATTGTGCAGCAAGTTAAATAAAGCAGGTAAAAGGCCAAGAGGAGCTCCATCTATGAGGAGACCCTCTTAGGACCCTCAGAAGGGGAACATTCTACCCGTTTTTCTCAGTATATACACTCTCCCTGTCCCACAGGAAGGGACTTATAGTCCAAACCTGTAGGGGACTCTGCATCCCACCCTACACCAGCCAAGACTTCTCCAGAGACATCTCAGCACAGGGTGGTTAGGCCTCTCTTTCACCTGAGACTCACCATGCCAAAACATCCTCACCAATTAAGGATTTTTCAGACCATCATGCCTCTCAAGAGGCTGAACAATCAGATCAGTGAAGAAAACAAAACTTAGCCTGGAGACTCAAGCTTCCACCATCACTGCAGTCTTTCCGGTATACTTTCTAATGATTATGGACCTGGCAGATGCTTCCTTGCATAGTCCAGTCTAGACTTGTTGTCTGAAATTTCTTTTGCCTACAGAAATCATCGCTATCAATACAAAACCTTACCTTTTAATCTGTGTACCCCAAGGTGCTTATGAAGGTATTGTTAGTAGCCAGTTTGAGTAGTTCAGGGCTTCATTTTGTACTAGTGTTTTTAGAGCATAATCCAGGATACCTTGCGGAAAGATTAGGAGGACCCTCTCCATGCTTTTGGCATACAGATATGTGATGATTTAATACCTAGCACTCTTCATCAGTAGATCTTGAAGTGCTTTGCAAAGGAGGTAACCATCGTTACCCCATTTTACTGATCAAAGGAATTTTTAATTCCCTTCTTAAAGGATTATTTGTGTAAGAGCTGAGATAGATACAGAACATCAAATGACCCAGAGGTCCCTGAACCAAAAAGTACTCCACTATGATGTCCAGAGACTTCTCAATACAGGGAGCGTACAGTAAGATCCAGACACTGATCTCCACACAACTGTCATCCATCTATCTTCATCCGCAATTCCTGAGTGTTCTGATTTCATGCTTAGAGGTTACTCCACGTACAAGACTGCATGTTGTTTCAGGGATTCCTGTTGTGAGCCTGGAATCATTCCCAAAAAATACATGAAGAAGAGTAAAAACACAATCAGTAGTGATCCGGTCCCTCAGTTGGAGAAAACATGAAGCCCTTATGGTGGTAAAATCCTCCCTCAGATTCCTGATCTTGAATGCCAGTCTTGAAGAATGAGGGCCCTCCACAATACACAAGATCAGAAAAAGTCTTCAGAGCATCAGCTTCCCAAAGATGAGTGGCCAGCTGGGCCTCTAGGATTTCTAGGGTCACCAGAGGAAGGAGCATGCCTCTGTGGGATACAATGACAACCATATCATAAATAAATCAGCAGTGGAGCATACCAGAAGTTCAAGTCAAAAGGCTTGTCTACACTACCCGCTGGATCGGTGGGCAGCAATCAATCCAGCGGGGGTTGATTATCGCGTCTATGATAGACGCGATAAATCGACCACAGAATGCTCTCCCGTCGACTCTGGTATTCCACCAGAATGAGGAGTGCAAGTAGAGTTGACGGGAGAGCGTCAGCTGTCAACTGACCGAACTGAAGACACCGCGGTAAGTAGATCTAAGTACGTTGACTTCAGCTACGCTATTCACGTATCTTAAATCGACCCCGCATGGTAGTGTAGACAAGCTGAAGTGATACAGAGCTTCGTCTAGGCAAAAGAGGCATTCCACCCAAAAAGGGACAGTGAATACAAGCAAACTGACTTGGCTATCGGTGAACAGAGGTCCCTGAATCAAACTCCACCTGATGTCCATTGAGCTAGGACGGGGTGGGCAAACTACAGGCCGCATCTGGCCCTTGAGCTCCTGGCTTCGTGCAGCTCCCAGAGGCAGTGGCATGTCCCCCCTCCAGCCCCTACGCGTAGGGGCAGCCAGGGGGATCCACCCGCTGCATCCACCCCAAGCACCAGCTCTGCAGCTCCCATTGGCCGGGAACTGCGCCAATGGCAGCTGCAGGGGTGGCGCCTGCGGACAGGGCAGTGTGCAGAGTTGCCTGGACAGCACCCTAACCCCTGCCTCAGCCCAGAGCCCCCTCCTGCACCCCAAACTCCTCATCCCGGGCCCCACCCCAGAGCCCACACCTCTAGCCGGAGCCCGCATCCCAACCTCCAGGCCGGAGCCCCCTCCTGCACCATGAACTCCTCATTTCTGGCCCCACCCCGGAACCTGCATCCCCAGAGCATTCATGGCCTGCCATACAATGTCCATACCCAGATGTGGCCCTCAGGCCAAAAAGTTTGCCCACCTCAAGCTAGGATGTCCCCTGCTGTATCCAGTTGCAATGTGAAATCGTTTTCACCAGGGAAGCAAATGAGAGATTGCTGGCAAAAGATACTGTTGCTCTCAGATAGTCAGGTCTGCTTGTATTTGCTTTTTTTTCCCCTTCTTCCATTGCTAGGAAGATGGTTGCTTTCTCCTTTCTAATGGTTTTCATCATCTCAAATTGCCTACTGGGGTAAATTTTCAGAAGCACCTAAATGACTTTGAAGTATATATTCCATTTTCAGAAGTGACTTAAGCACTGAGACTCTCACTGAACTTCAGTGGTAGTCATACAGCTTGACTACTGAGCAGCAAAAAAAAAAGTATACTCCTCTGAGGTAATAGACTCATCTAGCCTCTCACAGACCGTCTGCTCTCTCGGGCTGCGCAAGATTATGGACGATACTCTTACAAGTGTTGAGAAAGACCCAAGATGATTTCGTCAGCTATGTCCATGATGATGTCTTCCACAATCATTGTATATCTAGTTATCATGGGTGAATAGGTTTTTTTAATTTATCTACCAGTGTTTCAACACATCTGATGTGTGAATGGAAAGGGCATGGCCAAGCTCCAGAATCTTATGAACAAGTCTGAACTGCCTCGAGAAGTTATAAGAAGAGAGCCACAGCCCAAATGTCTCACTGTGGGGAAAGTTAGTCCCAGAAAGAGATTAGGTTTCTGCAGGCCAAATTAGGCATTTCAATGCATCTGTCCAATTCCTTCAAAGTCTGGGGCTGAAGCAGCACAGGTATAATCAATTAGAACTCAGCAGACAATTTTGGTTATGATGCATAAGGAGTTACAGAATCTAGCTTGTCCTCTCTTAGCTTTGCAGGAATGAAAGAAGTGAAGTACAGTTATGGGAAATGTGTTATCCAATGATTACTGAGGATAATTAAGACTGTCAGGCCACGACGTCTATTACAGAAAGTGCCTTTTAGTTTTTTTCATTCAAAATACGGGCTCTATCAACCCCAGCCAAACTGCTACTAAAAGGCTCCATTTTTTCTAATTTGTCTTTATTTGTCCTGAATAGTGGAGTATGGGAGAGTGAGCTGAGGTTCTTTTTAATGGTTTTAAAACATGTAATTTATGAATGGATAACATGTTTTGTCCAAACATGCTACCAAGTGTTTCATAAAATGCTTATCATTTGGTGTATTTTTGTATTTTTCCGTCTTCATATATATGTCTTTAAACTGTTAGCAATGGCTATTCAAAAGGAAAATTAACTTGTTTGCTATTATCCTTCCTTTTTAAAAAAAACTAAAATTACTTTTTTTTTTTTTTTTTTTTTTTTTTTTTTATTTAGCCTTAGTTTTT